CTGTAGTATAGCCCAAAGGTGGGAGGAAGCTGCTGAGGTTTGGGAAAGCACTTCCTCCATTTGATCAAATAATGATGAATGGATCATATTATTTTCACTGTTAGCTTTTAAATACAGATCCCTTCTCTGGATTATGGGGTTTTAACATAAAGATTGAAATTTAATTGCTTTCATATGATTTCAGATAAACAAGACCATACCAGCAGACTAACTGGACCAAACTTATACATACCCTAAATCAAATCTTATCCCCAAATGCCTGAGCCAAATATCTGTCAGCTGTGACCCTGACACCTATCCTGACCTGCATGCAGGAATCATGTGAGAGATAAAAATAACCCACTCTCAGGTTGCACATGGCAGCTTTTGAAAAAGAACAGGAGATAAAAGTTGGACTCAGGGTCCAGAATCATGAAAAAGTAAAATGATTCAAGTGAGCCCTGTCTAGGAGGACCCTGCACACAAGGGGGCTTGCTCCTGATGAGCGCCATGGCTACACTGACTCCCCCATGCTGGAAGGGGCCCCAGAGGTTCAGGCATGCTAGATACGTGCCCTTCCTCTGAACCACACTCCTACTCTGAAACCTTCTTTCATACACACACACACATACACTACAAATTTTATTTCTGGATGGACACAATGCCTTTATTTTATTTGTTCATTTCCATATGATGCTGGGGATCGAACCCAGTGCCTCTCACATGCTAGGCTAGTGCTCTATCACTGAGCCACAACCCAGACCTGTCCTTTAGGAAACTGCCAAATCCCCCAATATGAAAACCGGTAAATGTAGGAATATTTCTCTGCTTTTAATTGTAAACTGAGTGGTAGGATCACTTTAAATAGATTTCTGCCAAGTAAATCCCTTAAGTATGAGTCTAAAAGTCTGAAAGACGAAAGGACAAAGAAAACTGTCATAAGGAAGGCTGGGAGCGTAGCCTCGTGGTAGAGCACTTGCCTGGCATGTGCGAGGCCCTGGGTTCAATTCAGAGCACCACCCTATAAAAAACCTATTATTAGTTTCTACAAGTTGAAAGTGTAAACAAATGCCACTGAAATTTTCATATACATATGGCAACATTATTTGATTTACAGTAGATTCTACAAAAATATACTTATTTCATACTTTTGAAAGGTGCTTTTATATTTCACCCAAATGCTTCTGTCACAATGAATCATTGGTGTTGAATGCATAAATTACTATTAAAAGTTTTGAATATATTGAGTTGTCATAATAATAACTTGTACCCTTAACATTTGGATGTTGTTTCCTTTTCTAAATTTTTTACTTCTTCATGAAAAAAAAAAAAATTAGGTGGGCAGCAGCTGCTACAGCGAACATGTTCCACTTTCCAGAAGGGAGAGGGGAAGGTGGCCTCTATAAACCCTTCTTTCCTCACCCCACCCTATCCCCCGCCCGCCCGCCCCTGCTGTGGCAGCAGCTCTCTGCCCAGGCCCTGGACACCTGGGGCCCAAGCACAGGTGGCTTGAATCTAGAGGTGATGAGAAGGGCTTTCTAGTCCAGTGCCTGCCAGCTGTGCCGCTCTTTCAGGCAGCGTCACTGACTAATTCCTGAGGTAAAGCTAGTTTTATCGGGCTTTGAAGAGCAATTATTTCTAAAAATGTAAGACAAGCAATAAAAGTAAAAGAAAGGTAGACGTTTTTATTCAGGTAGATTAAAACCCACCAGGGTGCATGGATATAAGGAACAGATATAAAATAGTGAGAAAGCAGGCATGTTGGCAAGAGAGGAACAAAATTCCTTAACAGATAATTAGCAGAAATTAATGTCAAAATGTAAGTCATCCAGTTTAGGCCTTTCAATCCATTTTTATTGTTGTGTTATTAAATATCTCTTAAGAATTTTAGAGTATTTAAAATTTTGTTCATTCTGTACAAACTTATTGAGTATTGTGTTTAGAAGGTATTTTTGTGCCAGGCACAGTGGTCCACAGTTGTAATCCCAGCAGCTCAGGAGGCTGAGGCAGGAGGCTCACAAGATCAAGACCAGCCTTAGCAACTTAGCGAGACACCAAGCAACTTAGTGAAACCCTGTCTCCAAAAGGGCTGGGATGTGAGACTCGGTAATGAAGCGCCCCTGGGTTCACTCTTCGGTACCGCCCCCCCAAAAAAGAAAAAGTATTTTTGTCTTAATTTTTAATTTATTACCCAAAAAAAAGTGGCAGTAGAAATGGAAAACAAGTTATAGCATTACCCAGGTGCTTCCAGAGGCTCTTTGCCTTTACCTCTCATCCCTTCTGCTCCCAGAAAATAGAGATAAATATAAAAGCTAAAAAGACATTGCCAGGGCTGGGGATACGGCTCAAGTAGTAGCGCACTGGCCTAGCATGCGTGAGGCACTGGGTTCGATCCTCAGCACCACCTAAAAATGAAATAAAGATATTGCGTCCACCTAAAGCTAAAAAATAAATATTAAAAAAAAAGACATTGCCGGGCTGGGGATGTGGCTCAAGCGGTAGTGCGCTCGCCTGGCATGCGTGCGACCCGGGTTCGATCCTCAGCACCACATACCAACAAAGATGTTG